CCCATGACTTTCTCTGCTCGTCGCATGTCTCTGCTCCAGCACGCTTCTCACACGTTTCGCGGCTCCACAGGGTGCTTCACCGAAGGCCCCACGGGCAGGGTCCGCGTGAGTCTTGGGCCCATTTCCGCGCATCCTGTTCGTCAAGCGCTTCGAGGCTCCACAGGGTGCTACACCCAATGCTCAAGTGGCAGGATCCGCATGCGGCCCCAGAAGGGCCCAGAATCGGATCGAACGAATTGGATCGGCAGAAATCGGCAGCCGAGTCGGGAGAAGTCGAATCGGCGAGACCCGGCAGGCTAATAGGCCTCCACTGAGAAATCGAACCCAAATCAGAATCCGAAGTCGAATCGATTCGGAATCGGAAGCCGTCGAAATCGAATCGAATCCGAGGAATCGAAATGAGCCCTGGTCCTCCAGCCAATCCCGGCACGCCACTCATACCTTTCGTGGCCGCACAAGGTGTTCCACCCAGAGGCCCCGGTGGCAAGGTCCGCGCGTCACCCCGACCGGTTCGGCACGCCCATCACACGCTTCATGGCCCCCACCGGGAGCTCCACCGCAGGCTCCTGTGGCAGGGTCCGCAGGCGTCCGCCCGACTACTTCGGCGCACCCCTCACACGCTTCGTGGCCCCACAGGGGGCTCCACCGAAGGCTCCTGCGGCAGGGTTCGCATGCGACCCCGCGCCAATTTCGGCGCAGCCCTCACACGTTTCGTGGCTCCACAAGGAGTTCCACCGAAGGCGAATGGGCGCGACTGCGCACATGAATCCTAATACACGAAAGACACAACCCGACTGGCAAGGGGAAAGCAATGTGTGCAGGCGCGCACCATGTATCGGCGGCGACCCCAGGGTAGAAGTGAGAGGAAGCAGGCCTTCTCAGAAGGCGGCGGGGCTTCTCACAAGCCCTCCAGCCTTCTGAGAAATTGTCGCTGTCTTCGGAGAAGGCTTAGACAACTTCTCAGACTGCCAGAAGTTTAGCTGCCCCGATGCGCAATACGCAAACCTGACCGTATTGATACGGAGTCCACTACGTATGATCAACAGTTGGATATGGCTGCATACATTCGCCGATTCGTGGGCCAACATGTACAGCATCCAGGCTCAAAACGCAATACGTAAGGCGGCCTACGATGCGTAGCCCAATTCGGAGCCTAATCCAGAACCCAGTCGAGGACCGCTCCTCCTCTATCTCGGCCAGCGCTCTTCCTTATCCTCCTCCTCCTCCTCATGTTCCTTCTCCTCCTTTACCTCCTCCTCCTCCTTTACCTCCTCCTCCTCCTCCTCCTCCTCCTCCTCCTCCGTTCTCTCCCCCCGTTGTTGTCGCCACTGCCGCCGTCGCCGACCCCGCGGGCCTCCCGCGCGCGTCTTTGGCAATACAACACATCCCGGGAAGCGCCATAACACACCCCAGGGGCCGTTGTAACATCTTCTGGGGCCACCGAGGAGCCTCCCCAGGGCAGCTAGTTCACCGACCCTGTGCATGTTATAAGTTCCCAGTGTCTTTATAACACCTCTCTGGGGCCGTTGTAACACCTCCACGCTCAGATTAGAGCGCGCTTTGCCATGGCTTACCCAGCTTCCACGTACCCACAAGAAGCATACAAAGTACATGCAAGGTATGAGCAAATGATTTACAAACCACTTGCATTCATATAGCATATATTGCTGTGAGAGACATCACACAGCATCTCCCCCTCCGGAGAAAAGGATTCGCCCTTGCAGGATGCCGCGAGAGAGACAGCCACTCAGTAGATTGGCCGTTAATGCTGAAGTCGTATCGATGAAAGTTTGAACTGGCATCTATGTTATCCATGCCCGTTAAGCTATAACGCGAACGCACACTCTGCAGCAAACGCAACACCATTTGTTTACAACTTTGAACTTGAAGTATGCACTTCGAAATCGCTGAAGTTCGAAACCCTGTGTTTCAACCTGACGATGTTTACCGCCGTGTGGTTTGTGAAACCAACCTTGTGTATACAGTCGCCAGCGCCAATTGTACAATCACCAGAGCAGCGGAACAATCTAAGACTACTGGGGAAACCACGTTTCCCAACAAATGACCAGATGCACGCAAACATTATGATTCTCGTATGTCGAAATCGCTGTTCCGTGGTGGTCGACCCGTCACCCCCCCCCCCCCCACACGAATCTTGTTTCTCCGTCTAAGCGCCCAATCAGGCAATAAGCATCATTTGCAACACCGAAAAATCGTTCAGGGACTTTCGGGTGGTGGGCCGTCGTGTATCATCGTCCCGTATCTCTCGCAGACGGCGGAGTGTTTGCGGTTTGAGCAGTTGCACATGGCGTGCATTGTCGTCGCGGCATGTCGCGCGAACCGCGGAATCAACCATCGCCGCTATGGTTGTCCAGTCTCGCCGCTGCACCCATCCCCATCAAACCAATCAGGGACGATGCCCGTGAGAGCTGTCTAGCGAAGCGCGGCGGTGACAACGATGGTAAAGAGAGAAAGAAATAACGACAGAGAGAACAGAGAGAGAGAGAGAGAGAGTGAGAGTGAGACAGAGACTCAGGGGACCATCTTGGGGACATGGTTTGGCCATTTTGGAGGCCGTTGGGGCCCCCATGGGGCCTCGGGTGAAGCGTGTAGGGGGTGTGCCGAATTGGGTGTGGAACAGCATGTGGACCCTCCCTGCAGGGGCCTTCTGTTGGGGCCACGAATCGTGTGAGGGGTGTGCCGAAACAGACATGCGGAGGACGCAGGCAAGGACAGGAGGAGGGGGAGGGGGAGGGGGAGAGGACAAGCTAGGTGCGCTCGCGTCATATCTGACGTCCTACCCCTCCCTTCCATCTCTTACTATGGCGTAGATCTCCTCTCTATTGGCACAATCGGCTGTCGTAGCATGGCGTAGCATGACATTGCATAGCATGGTGATGAAGATTAACGCGCAGCATGACAGCATGGCGTGGCGACGCCCCAAAGTGAGGGGGGGGGCTTCTGCGGCCCACATGTCAACGAATCGACACCGAATGTGAAATCACTTCCGATGGTTTCTTCGGGAGACTAGTTTCTAGATTCTGGGGCCTGTTTGGAAGGACCGAAAACCATGCCGTGACATGGCACTGCAAATAATGACGCCAGCGCTGCAGTGGGAGCACGAGTCGGGACGAGCGGATGCGCGGAAATGAGGCCAGCGCTGCAGCGGGAAAACGATTCGGAACGAGCGGAAGCGCGGAAATGAGGTCAACGCTGCAGCGGGAGCACGATTCGGAACAAGCGGACGCCCGAAAATGAGGCTAACGCTTCAGCGGGAACAAAACTTTGAACCAAACTCAAGCGAAAGCCCAGTGTTCCGGGAATCCTGTGTAAAAAGACGGTGCGCGGAAGGGGGGCCAGATATCTTCCGGACGTCATCAGGGGAGAGAGGAAAGCAGTATTCATAGTGTGGAATTGTGGAGGACGCGGAGCACTGTCCCATAAAAACCAAGACCCAACACAACAGGCTGATTGGAAACAAAATCTATGATTGCAACCAACGTTCCCAGAACCCGCGTTCACATCTCACCACGCGACGCACCTGCCTTGATCTGGCATGCGCCCAGCGCGAACATCAAACACACCATGCGGGCAGCAAGGTGTAAAGGCGCTGTGAAACAGGCCACCAGGTGCATTGGGTACCAAACTACAGTCAGCACGCGTGACTTAGGAATTCGCCCAATCCAACATGACGACGAAGATACTTGCTTGTTCGCGCAATCAGCGGGATCCAGGAAGAATGGTTGGCATGCCATGCTTCGTTCCCCCAGCGGGCGCAAGGTGCCACACGACAACACTTTTGGAACATATCGTCTTGCCTTGATCGAGTTCATGATTTAACATGGGTCGCGCTGCCTTCAATACGAGAAGCAGTCCCAGACTGGCATACGCCAGAGACACTACTCGACCACTCATCGACTGAAACCGCAACAAGCATAATACATCTTTCGCGCGCGTGCACTCACGTACAGTTACCAAACTGTGTTCACTCAGGTCGGGCTGGACGTGGTATCACAACCTCATGACGAACAGGCCTCAAACTCAACCGCGCCCCTACTCGTTACAAGTGATCTTCCCCGAAGTACTCTTCTTCCACCCCCTTCTCGACGCTCTTCTCACTCTTGCATCCCAACAAAAACATAGGACCGTAGGCTTCTTCAGCCTGCTCACCGGCACTTCCCGCTCCACACCGCCGCCGGCCCACTGCAGATCGACATGGGTTGGCCTCCAAGGTAGTGGCGGTTGCGTGCGTTAGCATGTGCAAGCGCGTCCTATTCAGCGTGCGTGCGTATGCACTTTCCCATACATATACATATACAGTATGTATATATATATATATGTATGCACTGGCATCTTCATATCTCTGCATCTCGAGGATTGCTCGCTTGCACGACACCCTAAGTCATGGATCAAAGCCGAAGGCTATCGTATGTGTCGATGCCTGGCGCAGAAATGATATTCATCCTGGCAAAAGGAACCAACCGTATGCAGTTGTGAGTACCGCGTTGTGGGCACCGCTTTCGGTGGAGCTCCCTATGGGGCCACGAAACGTCTGAGGTGTGTGCCGATCTGGGCGCGGACCCGCATGCGGACCGTGCCACTGGGGTCTTTGGTGGAGCACCCTATGGGGCCACGAAACGTGTGAAGGGTGTGCCGAAATGCAAACAACGTATGAGGATTCTGCCGAAAAAGTGAGTGGCGCAGAGGGCAGATGCAAGGATGGGAGGAGGGAGGAGGGGGAGGAAGGAAGAAAAGAGACGCGGGAACTGTCACTTGAAAACGAGGACCCAAGTCCACAGGATGGTTGGGAACAACGTGTGTTACAAGCGAAGGGACATGTCAATGCAGTCGGCTTCACCCGAGCGTGTGCATGCTTCGCTCTTCCGCACCCGTGCACCGACCACTGGTAAGAACGGCCATGACGCAACGGCGACTCGAGCTCATAAATACACGAATACGCATGCTTCGTACTCGCCGCGTATATCCCCAGTGTACGTCTGCCCCTGCCGCTTTCACAATGCAATTCTGCAAACATCCTACGTTCAGTCTTCCCCCGCTACCGCCAGCAATAGGGATGCGGCCAAGTTCCCGCGGCTTGCCATGCGAATTCCATCCACTCCGCCCGTCATCGGCAAACCTTAGTCATATTGACGCCTCTGGCTGCGCCAGCTTGGGCACGCTGGCCGATTCCAGATCCCGACATGAGTTGTGCACGAGTCCGGCCGTGAGCTTTCACGCGGCTCCCGGTGCTCAAAGCAGTGCGAGGACAAGAGTCAGAATACAGTCGGGGCGTTGACCTAAGGAACCCTTAATAAGGAACGAGGCCCCTTTTTTGCAATAAGTTAAACTTCGATTCCCCATCGAAACCTGAGGACAACCTAAGGCAAGCTGCGAAACAATTAAGGAGCGCGGAGCCCCTCCCCAACGACAAGGGTTCCTTGTTTAGCGCCCCGACTGTACCACACTGGTTTGAAAGAGCGGCCACGGCCCAGCCACGGGAAGGACAAGTGGACGTGGGGTGAGAGTGCTGGCTGTCATACCATGCGCGATCTCCGCGGACCACGCCCTTCCCTCCCCCCCTGGCAGCTATCACTGCTCTGCCGGGCGGCAGGAGCGGCGGCGAGCAGCATCACGACAGCGCAACGCATGTCAGCGTGCGCAGCACAACTGAGCCCAAAACAGCTCGCAAGACGCGCAACCGCCGACGGAGTACGACCCAGACGGCGACCGAACTCGTCGGACGACGCCCGCGCCGCTCCGCCGTGCTGCCTCGCGAGGGAAGCGGCCGATCCCGGCGCGGATGGAGCCCAAGGGGTGCACCTCGTGAGGCACGGGAGTTACGCTTCGCTGGGGGCAGCGGAGCAGAACCTCCCGCGCATCGTGGCGCAGCGCCTCGCGGAGCTCCCGAGAGGCCCCCGGATGGACCCGGGCCTCGACCCGGGCGCCCGCGGCTGCGCGCGGCGCCCGTCCCCGCTCGTCCAAAAAAACACACCTCGCGAGGCCCGGGTGGGGCACGCCGTCGGCGACGGCGGCCTCGGCTGCGGCGCGGACGCAGAGCTCACGCCCTCGCTCCCGGGCGCGCCCGGGGCGCCGCGGCCCCCTGCTGCAGGGCGCGCCGCGGCGAGGAGCCGAGCGGGGCGCACAGCCAGGGGCCCGAGGGCCCAGAGGGCGCCGACCCCCCGCGGCGAGAGTGCGTCGGCCGCGCTCTCGCACGGCTCGTCCATGTCGGCGTCTGCCACGCGTGTGGCGCCGCTAGGACGTCCAGTTCTGCCGTGCGCTGTTCAGTTCCGTGCGCGCTGTAAATTGCTCGCTGGTCCAGGATGGTCCTCGCCGAGGAAAAACATAATGCGCACGTCCGAGCGATGCCGAGACCACACGTGCGGCGTCAGTCTCCCCGGTGACGGCGGTCTGACGCGCTTGAGCGGCGCGTGGGCGCCACAGCACACCATCACCGCAGCACCCTGGGCGCGCGGTTCCTGCAGCGTGGCCCCTGTGCACAAGCGGCTCGTGCATGCGCCGCGGTTCCTGCCGTTCTGGGGCGCTGGCGCGGCGCCACCCTCTCGCCTGACCAGCCAGCGGTCGTGTCGAGAACGCTGCATGCTCGCGGGTTGATTCGCCGTGCCTCTGGCCGCAGAGTCTGCGCCCGCCCCATCTCTAGCAGCCGGGTGCACGAAGGAGGCCCAGGCATGGATTTGCTGGTGGTGTCAGTCCCCGTCGCGGTGGCCACACCGCCATGCTGTGGGGTGGGTCCACATTCAGACCTTGGCTCTGGCATGGTCAGCCCAGTCTCTCTCTAAGAGCCTGCCCGATTACAAACTGCAAGCAACTGCAACTCCAAGGGAAAGAGCAGAAGCACCCCCAATTGGGATTCGGACTCCCTCACCTCCTCAGCATCCTCATCCTCCAATCCCAGCTCCAGCTCGGACTACTCCCCCTCCTCCTCTCCGTCCCTCCTCCCCTCGAGTAGCAGACCCGCGGCTGAGGATACTGTGACCAACTGCAGCCTCGCGCCCGCAGCAAATCCTGCCTCCATCGGTAGGTCCAACATGGCACGCGCGGAGGCAGCCGATCCCATCCCCCCTAGACAAGCGCGTTCCACGACTCGCGAAGTAGCTAAGTTATTCGCAAGTGGCCTGCATCCGCCGCAGGGGATTGACGTTACATTGCGCAAGAGCAGACGCACGTTTTGTCTTGACGCTTGCGAGTAGGCACTCTGCGAGAAGGGGAACGCGCTCGGTGACCCCCCACACCCCGCCCCGCCCCGCCGCCTGCCAGAGCTGTTCTCGCCTGCGTCCAGGCCGGTGATCACCGCGTTAAGGAGCCGCCCCGGGACCCCATCCTCGCAGTGGCCACGGGATGGCGCCGCGCGGGGTGGGGGCGAGGCGGCCCGCTGGCTCTCGTGCTCTCCTTCTCGCGCGCTCCCCTGCTCTCGTGCTCCAGTGCCTTTCCATCCTGCTCACTCCACCTGGACGCTGAAGTTGCCGGGGGCGGGCCCGGTCCAGGTCGCCAGGGCGGCAGCCTCTGACCTGCCAGGAACGGGCCAGCCTCGAACGGGCACGCCTCCAGGGACGGACCAGGGTTGGCACCTACAAGACGAAGCTGGTGACCCCCGCAGGGAGGGAGTCTGTCGCGGCACTGCCTCATCTGAGTTCTGTTGGACACCTTCGGCGGCCGCAGATAGGGAACATGAAGACACTTGTGCTGCCTCGGCCTTCGATGGCTCGCGAACGCTTCAGGTCCGAGTCCGTGGAGCAATGAATCGCCCCAGAATGCAAATCATTGATTGTCGATGCCCGATTGGTGGGCAGAGTTTGTAGCCCAGGAACTACCAACCTCACCATGACAAAATTGCTGAAGCCTCCATGCTTTTGTGGTGTGCCAGGGCTGCGCCCTAGCAGCAATAAGAATAACCTTTTAACTCAGGCGGTGCAAATCAGCATCACGCTCTGCAGGACAAGATTCTTGAGATTCGACACGCACCTGCCTTAGAGGGACAAAATTATGGCCACGGGGATTCTGAAGATTCCTGCAGGTCTCCAGACGAAGCGTGAATAATCTCTACGTTCACAAGCAATTTGATGCGTCAAAGAAGAAACGCAACAATACCACTACGAACAATAATAACAATGATAGTAAAAAAGGACCATCAATAATAACCATACATATGTAACAATACTATATACAAATAACAATAAACATCAATAAGCTCAGACGATAGAGGTGACGACAGACAGAGGCTCCCGATGGCCCGATCTCCCGCCTGAAACTTCATCCAGATGAGTTTGTGTGTCTAAGTAAGTCCATGCGATGATGATGACGATGGTGACGACGATGGCGTGTTAACGATGCTGATGAGTGGGTGCCATGGTGACGATGTTGAGTGATGACGATGACGACGGTGAAGTTGATACGTGAGTGTGTGCGAAGGAGGGGGTGAGGTGAGGTGGGGACTGCGCAGGGTGTCCAAAGAAAACATGAACCCGAGTTTGGATGTGGAGAAAAACTACAAGTAGACGATCCCGATAACCCGTTCGGGTAAATAAGGTGAGCTTCGAGCCCCGTAGGGAGGGGGCTCCCGCCTGAGACTTCCTCGCATTTCGCTCACAGACGAGGCTCCCCATAGAGACTTCCTCCACACTCGAGCTTGAGCAGGCCAACAATGACGACAGCTACAGGATCCGAAAGGCCCGCTCGGATGAGTGACATGACCTGCGGGCCCCAGAGGGAGGGAGATCCCGCCCGAGACTTGCCCCGCAATTCAAGCACAGAGGAGGTTCCCGTGCAAAACGTCCCCCATACTCAAGATTGAGGAGGCAAACAAGGACGATGATGGCTACAGGACCCCGACAAACCGCTCGGATTAATGACATGAGTTGCAAGCCCCGTGGGGAAGGGGCTCCCGCCTGAGAGTTCATCTCAATTCACTCACAGACGAGGCTCCCGCTCGAGACCTCCTCCATACTCAAGCTTGGAAAAAGGCCGGCGGTGACGACAGTCAGCGGCTCCCGGTGGCCCGCTCGGGTTAGCACCATGAGCTGCGGGCCCCGTAGGGAAGGGGTTCCTGCCTGAGACTCGGACTCGGACTCGGACTCGGCTCCGCGCGTGTGGCGCCATGAAGGCGCGGCGGAGTGGGCGCCGAGGCGCCTGCATTGGAAGGCATCGGCAAACAAATCTGCATGTGAAAATTATGCATGGGAGGCGTCAAAGGAGGAGGAGGAGGAGGAGGAGGAGGAGGAGGAGGGTTCCTGCCTGAGACTTCCTCGCAATTCACCCCGAGGCGAGGCCTTTCTCTAGAGACTTCCTCCATACCCATGCCCGAGGAGGCCAGAGCTGACGACAGTTACAAGACCTCCATGGCCCGCTCGCATTACAGTCGGGGCGTTGACCTAAGGAACCCAAAATAAGGAACGAGGCCCCTTTTTTTCCTTAAGTTAAACTTCGATTTCCGACCGAAAACATAAGGAACACCTGAGGCAAGCTGCGAACCACTTGAGGAACGCGGAGCCCCTCCCCAACGAGAAGGGTTCCTTCTTCAGGGCCCCGACTGCACCCATGCGCGAGGAGGCCAGAGCTGACGACAAATTACAAGACCTCGACGGCCCGCTCGTATTAGTATGTAACGCGAGCTGCGGGACCCATCGGGTGATGGGGTCTCGCACGAGACGTCCTCGAAAGTCACTCACGGACGAGTTTCCCGCCAGAGAGTTCCTCGTGATGGGATGCTGGTGGCCGATGCACAGGGTGGGTTGGTGGTACCGATGATGATGATGATGATAGCGTGTGTGTGTGTGAGAGCGAGGGGGATTGTGTGCATGATGACCATAATGCCGATAGTGTTCAGGAATGAGTGATCGTAGCATGATGATCAGTGCTGATCGTAGCATGATGATGAATGAATGGGTGATGAGTGAATGTGAGTAAATGTGTGGATGATGATGATAAGCCAGACTCATATCTGGCCAAATCAACTTGCCCCATCTCCGTTTCTGGATCGGCTGGTGGGGATGCGCGAAGCGTCAATCATCTAACAAAGGCCCGCAATATCGGTCATGATCGGAGTGGCACACTGTTCTGTTGTGTTTTGGCTTCCGGGTCTCCAGACATCCAGAAATACGCACTCACGTTTTGGAACATGCTCCTATTTTGAAGCATAAGGAGCGAAGTCTGTGCTGCTTCGGGCCCATATGTAGCCACTGGCTACGAGTTGTCCTCCAAATTTTCTGATGTGCTGCGTCGATGACAATTGACGCATCCATAATGCCTCGCTCGTTCCCCCAATGATCTGGGCCAGTCCCTTGCCCCGCACACAGCAGTTCCACTGTTGAAGATTGTGTGGAGCGTCCTGGTGTCAGAGAGCGCAAGGTCATGTCTTTGGCGGCGGCCACTTGAATGCAAGCAGCGCTCGGGCAACGGTAGGACAAAAAGCAAACGAAGGCGCCGACATGAGGGAGGAGGAGGGGCAAGCGGCAAGAGGGCCACCCACAGGGAGGAGGAAGAGGAGGAGGAGGAGGAGGACGAGGGAGGAGGAGGAGAAGGAGGAGGAGGAGAAGATGAGGAGGAGGAGAGGGGAGGAGGAAGGAGGAGGAGGAGGAGAAGATGGAGGAGGAGGAGGAGGAGGAGGAGGAGGAGGAGGAGGAGGAGGAGGGAGGAGGAGGGAGGAGGAGGAGGAGGAGGAGGAGGGAGGAGGAGGGAGGAGGGAGGAGGAGATGGAGGAGGAGGAGGAGGAGGGGGGGAAGAGAACGCAGGGGCAGCAGCCCGAGACTGGGAGGCAGGCCGCGCGCGCGGCAGCAGAGCGGCAGCGACGGCAGCACGAGGCAGGCGAGCACCACCGCGCCCGCGCCCCGCGCGGGGCGGAGCGGCGCGCGGCTCCTTGCCCTCCTGCTTGCAGCTCACCCACTGCCCCACCGACAGCGCCCTGCGGAACTCCTGCGGTAGCTGGCCTCGAACGCATCCCTGCCCCTGAGAGTATCGGGCCGGGCGAAAGGGGGGGATAGCGAAGGGGGGGGGTGAGAATCAGCTCACGTAGCTGCTTTTCCCGGCGCCTCTCCCGGCGCCGCAGGCGGCTATGTATCGAGGAATGGGCCCCTCGGTGAGGCCGAAACCAGCTGCATGCAGCAAATTTCATAACCCCCCCTTTCCCAATCCCCCCCTTTCGTCCGGCCCGAGAGTAACAAGCCAAAAGTCGACGACGGTCTCAGGGATGCGCCCTCAGGAGCGGAGGGAACCCCTAAGATCGGCATCGAGAGGAGGCGATGTCAATCATGGAGATGGGGATGTGTTCCAGGCTGGTGATGAGAGGGGAAGGCGTCACGAGCGCTCTTCGGGAGCGGCCAAGGAGGGGGGTGTCCAAGAGGGGGGGGTGCAAATCATGACCGGCGGCAGGTGCGCGGCCCAGCGGGGGGGCCAGGGACGCAACGAGATAAGAAGAGGCGCCACAAACTCTGGGGGCATATCGTGGCCCCCGCCATGATATCCGCCCCCCCCTAGTCCTCACCCCCCTCTTTGCGCCGCCCCCGATGAGGGGGGAAGGCGCCACGAGCGCCTTCAAGCAACTGCTCAAGCCAGGGCCCCTGCACTCGTTTACAGGAGGTCGGGAGCTCTTGCTCGGCGCGTCGCGGAGGCGGCCCCAGCGACACGCCGTGCCTCACGAGTAGAGATAGGCGTGTCGCTCCGCGCCGCGGGGCGGGAGGCGGGGAAAGGCTCAGGACGTTGACGCGCGGGCGCTCAAAGGCTCCCAACTTCGCGCTTCGCGCTGCGCGAAGCGCGAAGTGCAAACAACTTCGCGAGCTCTCGCGCCGCCTCCCAGGGGAGAAGAGGAGGATGAGGAGGAAGCGGAGCCGAACCGCGAAGCGCGAAGCGCGAAGAACTTCGCGCCCTCGAGGGCGCCCTTGCAGAAGGTCGGGAGCTCTTGCTTGGCGTGTCGCGGAGGCGGCCCCAGCGACGCGCTGTGCCTTACGAGCAGATCGCGTGTCGCTCCGCCCCGCGGGGCGGGAGGCGGGGAAAGGCTCGTGATGGGCCTGCTTTTCACCACCACCACCATGAGTTGGAGGGGGAGGGGGTCCTCCTCCTCCTCCTCCTCCTCCTCCTCCTCCTCCACCACCTCCTTCCCCCTCCAACTTATGGTGGTGGTGGTGGAAAACAGGCCCATCAGCTCAGGACGTTGACGCTCGGGTGCTAGGACGTGGATAGCGTGTCGCGCCGAAGTGCGGTGGTCCAGAACCGCGGGTGCGACACCCCAACCAAAAGTCACCGCACAAAAATACCCCAATCCGCCGCCGTACCTCGAGGCACGAGATGGAGTGTCCTCAGGTCCTTGCAATACTGAGCATGGTACTGGATCACCGATATGAAGAAGCCTAGACCCAGACCCAACAGTGACGGAGTTCCTGGGGTGTGGCGCGTGTTCCCGAAGACCTCTTGGGTTGGGGCTTCCCGCGTGACATTCCTGAAATCAAGAGGGTCCGAAAACGAGCGAAGAACAAGACGGTCCAAGAGGGCCACGAGACGGCCCAAGAGCGCCCAAGGACGGCCCAAGATGACCTCCAGACGGCCAGTGAAGCCTCCAAAACAAGTAAGAGTGTCCCAAGAAAGCCCCCAAGAGAGCCCCAAGAGGGACGAATCATTGATTGGCCTCCTGGAGGCCTCTTGGGGCCTCTTGGAGGCGCCTCCGCTGCGTCTGGGGGGATTTGGGGGCCACCTTTGGGCAGAGGGCTCCAATTCGATCCAGTTCGCGTTTCCTTCTGAAGCCCTTTTTGAAGCCCTTTTTAAAAGCCATCTTGGTGCCCTCTTGAATACTCTTGGAGGCCTCTTGGGTCGTCCTGGAGCACGACCCAAGCACGGTGGCGGGATGGGCCGAAAGCCACTAGATCCGCCGCCCCCTGCTTGCAGGGGTGCACGGCGTGCTGGATGTTTCAGGTTTTGGTTTTGGTTCTTTTTCTAAAAGAACTCCCCAGTGGGCTTCGGCCCGTCCCGCCGGCCACCCGGAAAGGATGCCCAGGAGCTCAATTCCCCAATTTCCTGCCCCAACTTGGCCCAAGATGGCCTCCAAGACGGCCAAGATGGCCCAAGATGGCCTCCAAGATGCCTCCCAGACGGCCAAGATGGCCTCCAAGACGGGTAAGATGGCTCCAAGATGCCTCCAAGACGGCCCAAGATGCCCTCCAAGACGGCCAAGATGGCCCCAAGATGCCTCCAAGATGGCCCAAGAGGCCTCCAAGACGTTCTCCAGGAGAGCCCGAAGAGGCCAAAATCATTGGTTTTCCTTAGGTTTTTGAAGGTTTTTTGCGTTTTCTTCTTTTCGGCCTTCCGACGGCCCAAGAGGCCCCCAAGATCGCCCAAGAGGCCTCCAAGAAGGCCCTATGACGGCCCAAGGGCCCCCCAAGACGGCCCCAAGAGCGCCCCAAGACGGCCCAAGAGGCCTCCAAGACGCCCAACATGGCCTCCAAGACGGCCCTGAAGCGCCCCAAGAGGGCCCCAAGACGGCCCAGAGAGGCCCCCAAGACGGCTCCAGACGGCGTCAGACGGACCAGGAACGCCCTAAGACGGCCAAAGAGACCCCCAGGAAGCCCCCAAAGGCCCCCAAGAGGCCCAAGGAGGCCCCCAAGATGCCTCCAAGAGGCCTCGAAGAGGCCCCCAAGAAGCCCCCAACAGACCCCAAGGGTGCCCCAAGAGACTCCTAACAACCCTCATCCTCCTACTCTATTTCTTCCTCTTCCTCTTCCTGTTCATAATCATTCTCTCCCATGTGTTCCCCGAAAGCTTTCCAAACCGACTCGGGGAACTCATGGTCCGATAGCTTGGCCAAGCTCTAGTCCAACTTTCGGCCACATCGGCGTTTCCAAAAAGGCAGGGGGCGGCGGTGATTCGCCGTAGGCGTCTTCGATCCGCCGCCCCCTGCTTGCAGGGGTGCACGGCGTGCTGGATGATTCAGTTTTGGTTTTGGTTCTTTTTCTAAAAGAACTCCCCAGTGGGCTTCGGCCTGTCCCGCCGGCCACCCGCGCATTTCCCAAAATGCGTCTGTCAATTGCCAAAAACGGCCGTTTCGCTCGGGACATCCTCAAAAATCGCGAAGATGGCCCAAGATGGCCTCCAAGTCCGCCCGAGATGGTCCAAGACGGCCTCCAAAACGGCCCAAGAGAGTCCAAGACGGCCCAAGACGGCCCAAGAGGCCCCCCAGAGGCCTCCCAGACGGCCCAAGAGGCCTCCAAGAGGTCCTCCAGGAGAGTCCGAAGAGGCCAAAATCATTGATTTTCCCTTGGTTTTTGAAGGATTTTGGCATTTGCGCCTTTTCGGCTCTCCGACGGCTCAAGACGGCCCAAGAAGCCCCCAAGATCGCCCAAGAGGCCCCCAAGAGAGCCCCATGATGGCCCAAGTGGCCTCCAAGATGGCCCCTAGAGGGCCCCAAGAGGGCCCAAGAGGCCTCCAACACGCCCAAGATGGCCTCCAAGACGCCCAAGATGGCCTCCAAGACGGCCCTGGAGCATTCCAAGCGGGCCCCAAGTCGGCCCATAGAGGCCCCCCAAACGGCTTCCGACGGCTTCAGACGTGCCAGGAACCCACCAAGATGGCCGAAGTTGGCTCGAAGCTGGCCCGAGACGGCCCAAAAAGCCCCAAAGATCGCCCAAAGCTTGCCCAAGAGGCCTCCAAGACGGCCAAGATGACCTTCAAGATGCCCACGTGTTCCCCGAAGGCTTTCCAAACCGATTCGGGGAACACGTGGTCCGATAGCTTGGCAGGTCTGGCCTCAACGTTCGGCCACATAGGCGCTTCCAAAAAGGCAGGGGGCGGCGGTGATTCGCCGTAGGCGTCTTCGATCCGCTGCTCCCTGTTGGCTTGCCACGGGGGTGCCCGGCGTGCTAAACCCTATCATCTTGGTCTTGGCTCTTTTTCCAAGCAACTCTCCCTGTGGCTTCGGCCCGTCCCGCCGGCCCTGCGGAAGGCCCAGAAACGACCTCAACGGTCCCAAATATCCTCCAAGACGGCTGAAGATGTCCTCCGAGATGGTCACGTTGGCCCAAGATGGTCTCAAAGATGGTCCAAGATGGCCTCCAAGACGGCTCAAGAGGGCCTAAGATGGCCCAAGACGGCCCAAGGGACCCTGTACAGGATGAAGGGGCCCTGGGACACACAAATAAATACACACAAATAACAGGATTCCCAATATTTTCCCATATGTTCTGGGTTTTCGTCTTCCCCCCCACTTCCCATATTTTCCCGTATTTTCCTGGGAGTCGACGATGAATTGTGTCTGTGTGTTTCTTTCCCTCCTGAACCTTGGACCCTGGGAATGTCGCAGCGGATGCCTCTGCTCACTGGAGACCTCAGGATCCGGTGTGAGAGCTCACTGCAACGAAATCCAAACAATCGATCGGCCGACAACACATACAGGCAAGTTGCGCATATGTTGCCTGCAAGGGTGTGTAATCGGTGGTCATTGGGGCTCCACTGGGAGCTGGAACCCCAGGCTTATGGTTGCCGCACAGCGTGATGGTGCAGGGTAAAGCTGCAAGACCCTGGAGCGCCCTTCTGCCAAGAAATTGGCTGAGAACAAGCCGAAAAAAACAAATGCTGAAAGGCACCACTCGGAACACACACCATCCTGACGGGGTAAAACTGCTCCGCTCGACCAAACACGGCAACAGTTGTCCGTGCGGTGCTGTGCGATGCCAGCGTTTTCGCGCGCTCGAAAAAAGCCGCTGTCGCCCGCGCCAATGCCGTATCGTCTCAACGTGCTCGCAAACGGGATGGATCGATCGCTCTGGTTGATCCGTGAGTGTCGTGCGACATGACCCCCACGTGCTCATGGACGACAGCGGTCTGCTGCTCAGTGCCACATGGTGCCACGATGACGTACGGTGCTCTGGCCGCAGCATGGGCGCTGCTGGTCGAGGTCAGCGAGCTATGGAAATGTACTGACTGAGAGAGTCGACGGATCCCAAGCTAACAACATAACCCAACAAACATCAGTTCCCGGCGGAAAAATAAGAAGGCCCAGCTAGATGTTTGGACAGGCTGGCCCATCTGGGGAGTGCACGGGGCCAGTGCGAATGTAGTCAGCGTGACTACCACGAAAGTCAGAGACTCGCAGCGCCCCAGGGAGACAACTATGGGCCAAGAAAGAAGAGAGAGAGAGAGAGAGAGACAGAGACAGAGAGCAACGACCAAGACAACGTCCAAGCCTTGTGTCGGGCGTGTCCCCCGACAGGGGGATTTTCGATGAGAAATAAAGAATACTCCAAAAGTACCCCAAAAAGGTAAACAAATACTCAAAACATAGTCCCCTGACTGTTTGTTGGACGATGTTTTGGCTATTGGTGTATTTTTTATTCTTCGTCGAAACTCCCCCAGCAGGGGGACAGGCCCGACTTGATCCCAGCCCTTGTTTCCGAGAGCTCTGCTCCCGTGCCCGAGGCTCCCGCTCCTCGCGGTCCCTGGCCAACCTCGCGCTCGCTGAGAGGTCCTCGATGGCCGGCAGGACGGGGCACGGCCTCGGGATCCCATTTGGAGTCCCGCAACGGTGCGGCGAGACAGACCGCGCGGTGACCTCGAGCTCCCGCACACCGCACGGTCCGCCACCGCACGGTTTCGGGACCCTGGAGGCCCCCGTCGCCCGAGACGTCCCTCGGAGAACGGCCCGCATCCCAGAACCGTGCGGTGGCCCCGAATCCTCGCCGACTCACCGCACGGCGTGGTCACCGCACCGTGTGAGGCCCCCCGAATCCAGCTCTGCCAAAAGATGCCACGTCCGGGGCGACGACGAACGACAGCGTACGCATGAATTGAGGCCTGGGGGGAAATCAGGTGGTCACGACCATCTACAACCTTAGCTGCCCCAATACGCAGCACGCAACACGTAGCGTATTGATACGGAGCTCAACACGTGGACTGAAAACGTAGGTCCGATGCGACACCTTCGCCGAAACGTGGTCCAGCACGTGGAGCCAACACGCAACGTTTTGGCACGGACGTCTTGAACACGGGGCGTGTTGCGTTTCAAAACGGGCGCATCGAGGCACGTGCCATCGGGATCTGTGCCTGCGCGTGGCCACAGCAGCTCTCTTCCAGCGCGGAGAACTTTCAGCGATCGGAGCTTCTCCCCTCCTCTCCCCTCCTCTCCCCTCCTCTCCCCTCCTCTCCCCTCCTCGGGGGGTGAGATCGCAGTGGAACGGAGGAGCCCCCCACAGGGAAATCGGCTTCGGTTTCATGTTCGTGTCGTGCGTGCGGGCGAGGCGAAGCTGCGTGGGCGCACGAGAGGAATGACCCCGCCGTCGCCAAGGCGATTCGGATGGAGTGGACCGCCCATCCGCCCACTGGGGGCGCGCGGTGGCCCGGGAAGTCCCGCGGCGGTGTCCCGTTGATGTCCCATTGATGTCCCGTCGGTGTCCCGTCGGTGTTCCGTCGGCGGTGGGCGGGCGGTGGCCAGGGGTGTCCCGCGTTGGTATCGATTGCGAAGTCGATAGTAAGATCGAGATTGAGATCGCTAGAATGGGATGGATAGTGAAAGCAAAAGTGAGATCGACAGCGAGGTTGATTGTGACAGTAATTGTGAGATAGAAAGCGGGGACGACAATGACATGACATCGCAGCGCAACGTCGTCATCACGCTTCGTCGCTAACTCGAGGGCGCGTCACCAGCATCGCCATCATCACACACACATCGTAGTTGCCAGCAGTTGGTTATTTCTCCCCCATCCCCCAAAATCTGTATTACCCGAAGGGTGGTCGTATGGGTAAGTTCCCTTGTTAGCCCTTCCCCCTGCTCGGAAACATGATGAACGGAGCGCAACACATGGAATAGCATAGCACCCCGATGCCCGAATACTGGCCACCCCTGCAAATCGTTAGCCCCGAACCGGGCAAACCAAGACAACGTTCATGACTACTTATCCCAGTGCGGCCCTACCTAGGAGTTGGAGCAGTTAGGAAAGCAACATCTACGTCTACACCGGCAGCTACATGTACATATACACCTGCTATGCTATGCTATGATATGCTATGATATGCTGCGCTATGGTATGTTATGTTATGCTATGACATGCTGTGCCATACTACGATGTGCTATGCTGTGATATACGAAGCAATGCTATGATATGATATGCGATGATACGGTATGCTATGCTGCGCTATGCTATGGTATGTTATGGTATGCTATGTTATGCTGAGCTATGCTGTGGTATGCTATGCTTGGTAATGCTATGCAATGCTATGCTATGCTGTGCTAATGCTGCGCTGCGCTATGCTGCGCTGCGCTGCGCTAAGCTAAGCTAAGCTAAACTATGCTAAGGTAAGCTAAACTAAGCTAAGCTAAGCTAGGCTAGGCTAAGCTAAGCTACGCTACGCTAAGCTAAGCCAAGCGAAGCCAAGCTAAGCTAAGTTCAGCTAGTCTAAGATGAGATGAGATAAGCTAAGCTGAGCTAAGCTAAGCTGGGCTACGCTAAGCTAAGCTAAGCTAGGCTAGGCTAGGCAAAGCTAAGCTATGCTAAGCTAAGCGAAGCCAAGCTAAGCTAAGCTAAGCTAAGATGAGATAAGCTAAGCTAAGCTAAGCTAAGCTAAGCTAAGCTAAGCTAAGCTGGGTGAACCCAGGGGGCGCAACTGGGGGAACCGCGGGGCGGATGCCGGGGGAACCGCCCGGGGCGTTATCCACTGCCCGGCCCTTTGAGCACACACAGTAAGAACCCTTCTAGGCAGAGCCTAGGTAGGGAACTAGCCTGCGTAGCATGGGCGGAGACGCGTTGAATCACGCGACGCCTGTGGTAGCCAAGGACTCGCCATCATGAAATGCCACACCGACCGAAGGATGAGCAATTACACAGCACGGGCAGATGGAGCTGTAACGTAAGTGCACGAATACCATCCCACCATCGCCTGCTCAGCGGCATACAGCTGGGATCCCTGCAGCCTGCATGATGCTCCAACAGGCGGTTGGACAAAAACGCATTGGAACAACGAGTTGGTACAGACGCAAGAAGAAGTTGATACAAGCGCAGCTGCGTACACACGCCAAAACATGTCCTTCGCATAGTCGTTGACCCTGAACCAGACGGGAAAACAAGCAGGTTGGATGGATCTACTAGCGGTCTCAACGAGAGCGCCTTTTGCCAATGCTGTCCGAGCGGCGGCAATAATTGGAACCTACACCAGCCCTGGCAAGACAACATGATATCCGCTGGCATGGGATGCAACCGCTAAGTGAGGCCGCGGCATGTGTGCTTACGTGATTGGCAATTCGGCTTCTCGTCAGCTCGTCGCCTTCTCGACTTCCGATTGGCCTCGGAGGCTTCGTGACAGCCCAAGATGGTCCAAGAGGGTCCTAGAGGGAGAGGGGCTGGGGCTGAGAACAGCCTCAGAAGACACTGAAGGCTATCAACAGCACCCCGAGAGGGCTCCGAGGTCATCCAAGCTCTAAAACGGTGGCGCCGACTACTATACTTGATTTCGCAGATGGCTTCCATAATTGTCCCAAGAGGACTCGACTGGCTCTAAGAGAGCCCCGAAACAATCCCAGAGGTCCCCATTCTTCAACACAAGCCCACCCAAAATGGTTCCACTGGGCCACCGAGAGGACCCCGGAAGGCCTCCACTTGGCAATGTATCGGGGCTGCTTGGGCTCACCCCTCCTTTGGTATAACTGGTGTGCCCCGTCCTTGTCTCACTGATGCTCCTTGAATCCCATTCTCCAGCAACTCGTGGCGCTCAGAGGCATCCTTCCCACCGCATCCACCCTTCTCTTGCGCCGAGAATCCCCGATCCAATGCTAGGCGCGTGGCTCCATGCCAGGAGGATTGACGAAGAGCGGCACCCCGCGCTTGAGTGACTGGGTTTCGCTTTTTACTGCCGCGCACAGCGACAAACAACCAACGGCTACGCATTCACATCACGTCCCGCAGCACTCTTGCATGGACGTAGCACCTACACCGAGATCGGACGAAAAAAAGACTCCCCCGTCCCTGCATCGTGTTTGGCCCTCGAACGCCTGTGCTGCAGGAAGGCGCCCATCACATCTTGACATCTGGCTTGCGCTTGACACTGCCTGGGCCCAAATGGGGCTCTCGGAGCTCACGATACAAGGGAACGTTCTCCCTCGGCGCCTTGCACGGTCGTACACCAAGCGTAGCCCGATGTACACGGCAGCTTTTAATACATAGGATTTAAAAATATCTGATTTTAATACATGGTTAGCTTATGAGTATTAAAGGTATGCATGAACTCATCGTTGTTTTTAATACTAAACCCTGTATGCTTTTGTACATGATCCGCACGCGGAGCATGTATTTAAAACGGCACACTAGATCCAGACGGGCCTCACTCCAGGGACACAGAGGCCCCAGTGGCGGGGGGACCAGGAGCCGGCGCAGGCGGCCATCATCAGCCCAAATCGCGAGCAGGTCACAGCATCCGCGGGCAGGTCAGAGCTTCCGCGGATCCCCAAGAACTCATGCTGCGCCTCTTCTCTTCCCTCCCTCCAAAGCCTTCGCCGGGGCAGAATGGTTTTCCATCTCCCCATGGGCCACCATTCATGTCTGTCTTCCTGTCTGTCTGAAGCTGCTGGAGGAGAGCAAGAGGGAAAGAGATAGCCCGAGAAGGAATAGCCCGAGAAGGAATAGCCCGAGAAGGAATGATAGTGGTGGCTCGACGCTGCAGCGGGAAAGTCGGACACGGTGACGCGGCGAGCTGTGCTTCTGTTTCCGTGCGGTCACGGCGTCGGGCCGAAATTGACAGCGAAGCGGAACAACGCGAAACACGAGATCACCAGCAACACCATCCCAGCAATACACGCTCAGCCCCGGGTGCAAACAGAGCCGCGCAGCTCACCCGGGGGCAGTGCTTCTGCGGGCACACAGGCAACATCGCAAACCTTGTGGGCCCGAGACACACCACGGGCGCAGCAGCAGCAGCAGCACATTTAAAACACACAAAAAAACGCGACGTCTCCGGTGCCTCGCCCTGCTCTGAAATCCACGATGCATGCCGCACGAGCGCGGGCTGCCACCGGCGGAGGAGGGGCTGGAAGAGGCAGAGAGGGACTCGCCGTCGCTCGGACGTCCATTCCCCGTGCAAGGTTCGGTTTCGTGCGTGGTTCCTTTGCTCGATGATCCAAGATGCTCCTCGATGGTCCTCACCGAGAAAAAATGCACACGACCGAGCGATGCAAAGGGGAGGAAGGAGGAGGTCGGACTCCTCTCCCCTGCTTCTGCCTGCTTGCTGCCTCCCGGGCTGCTTTTCCTCTGAAGACCCAACGCTCACCGCGCCATCGCCGGCGTGGCATCTGGGCACTCCAAGGGGAGACGCCAGTGAGAGGGACACTTGCGAGTTCGCGCCCAGATCGTGGGAATGCTCATGCGAAGCGCTGGTTCAGGCACTCCCGAACCCTCTCCTGGGTGGCCACATATGAACCCCAACCCACCCCCCACGATGTCGAAGGCGGGGTGGGGGTTTACTTCGTTCGGGAGCTCCAGAGCAGAGTGAACTCCCACCCCCCCCTTAGAACTGGTTGGGGGTGGGGGTAGGGTTCATCTGTGGCCATCTGCTCTCCTGCCAGGGAGCCAAGGTCATCCTGGTGCAGCAGCCACAGCAGGTGACCAGTGGACACGCCCGAGTGGGGAGCCGCCAGGGAGCGCTCTCAGCCACCCCAGACTCAGAAACAGTGTCTCGGTCAGACTCCTTCGGACGTGAGTGCCAGGAGCTGAGGTGCACGAGTATGGGCAACGCGGGTGCGTGTCGTGTCGACCCCGGCGCTGGCTTCTGACGCCGCGGGAAGTGTTCGACCTAGAACGATCGGTAGCTTACCAAACGTCCGATCGTTCAACATCGACCGAGTTTGGGTCACCGGCGGCGTTCAACCTTGAACGCCGGCGCTGGGGTCGCCGCTGGTCGACGCGACGCGAATCTACCGTACCCCCGCGTCGACGAATCATTGCAATATTCTGGGAGGTGGTCGTGCAAATGGGGTCCCTTGAGCCTGACGAAGAGTGCGTCCCACCGAGTTTACAGAATGTGTACGGGCCAACTGCCATGCTTTCATCGCAAGGTGCTCCACACCATGGGGAAGTGGCGGGACAGGGAATTTTGCCAAGGCGTTTTGTGACGGCTGGAAGACCACCACGCTGCACAATGTAAGCGCTGGACATCCTGGCTCTATACCAGCTCAAAGCACTCCCCAAGGGGGCAACAGGGGACGTACAACTGGCACCCGAAGCGTCGAACCCCGCTACGGTCTCGCCATATCCTACCTCACCCTCTCCTCCAAACTCCCTCACCGCCCCCCCCCTTCCTAGCTCCTTGCTTGCCTCACGTTCCACCATCTCTCTCTTCGCCCACTCCCTCAAAAAAACATGTGTCTCCTCGTTGACGAGCTTACGAAGCTGGCTGGTCTTCTTCCCGTGCTGGTAGCGGAACAGGGTCCAAGCACCGTGCTGCTGGCTCATTGCGTCCGACACGACCTTGGGAAGAAACATCTCCCTGGCGCGGCCGTGCCGCCCGCGCTCCTGCACAATCAGCCTGAGGGCCTCTGCCATCGAGGAGCACCTCTTCACGGAGCCGCCCGCGGACACGAAGGATATCTGCTGCTCCTCTAGACTGGCGACGCTCTCGAGAGTGCACTCCACCGTGAGCTCCCCGATGGAAACGGAGACTTTGACTGGCAGCTGCAGGCCGGGCCTCACGGCAGCGGGCAGCGCATCGCCCTCGTGGCTGGCGCTGCCGGCACTCTTGAAGAAACTCACGAGCATCTCCAGCGGGATGGACAGGCCGATCTCCTGGTGCAGGAACCTGGCCGCGAACACCGAAAACGGGCTCGACTCCGGCAGCAGCACCTGCGGCGGAGGCGCCGCCGAGAGGGAGCCCAGCCTGCGGCGCTCCTGCCAAGCGACCGTCCTGGCGTGGGACGCCCGCAAGCGCCGCAGCGGCTCCCACAGTGGCCGCAGGGTCGCGAGGTTGGCGTCTCGCATGACCTTCTCGTCCCTGGCCTGCAGCTTCGGCCACTGCCTGGCCCCCGCCTCGGCCGCGGAGCGGGTGGCGCCGCAGAAGATCCTGCGGCTCTGCTCCGCCACGGCCGCGTGCGCCGCCTGCGTGGCCAGCCGGTGGGGCTCCTCGGCCGCCCGCGCCCAGCGGCGCGCAAACTCGCGGCCGTCGAGGGCCGGGGCCGCGCTGCGCAGCATGCGGCGGAGGCGCCTCGACCAGAGCACCTCCTCCGAGTCCGCCCAGGCGTAGAGCCCGCACTCGGAGCCGTCGGGCCACTGGTGCCTGCACCACCTGCCACGAAGCCGCCAGCGCGGGGCCGGCGGAGCCGACGCCGCGCTGCCGCCGTCGCCTCGGCGCAGCGGCGGGGAGGAGAGGAGCCCCCCCACCCCCCCCGCGCACTCCCGAATCACGAGTTGGTCACGCATGCCCCCCCTCGCCATAGAACGCGCCACACCCTGCACCCCCGGAGCAAAAGTTCGCTAAGTGTCCCCCTGCGCACACGCCGGGACATTTTTCCCCCCCCCTGCGCCTTGCACGTTGAGCCATAATTTGACCATAATGGGCTGTGCCAAGAAACCCGCACCCCCAGCATCACTGGTTGGCACTCCTGTCCTCCTGCGCCTGAGGTTGCGCCAGACACCCCGCAACCCCGAATCCCGAATTTGCCCCCTCTGGCTGCTTCCAGCGCCAAGAGGGAGGGCTGCTCAGCATTCGATGTTTGATGCAACTGCTTCGCATACTTTGCAAGGGATAGTGTCGGTCCCTGGGAGGGGGCATGGGCGGGCGAAGATTGTCCTGGCCTCCTTCACAGGACGCGGCAGGAAACGAGCCGGCCCTAAGATACGAACCAGGCCGAAGATGAGGAGGAGGAGGACGAGGAGGAGGAGAAGAGCGGACTGGAGTAACCCAAGATGTATCAACAATGATGGACACCCTCCCGACTCAGATTCCCTCCCATATGCTCCTACAGGCTTCCCTCCTCACTACCAGAAGTATCCACTTGAACGACGAGCACCGTATGGGCCTGACGTTTGAGCGAGAAACCTCTTTTGAAAAAGGAACTGTCTTGCACCCTTGTTGCGAGCCGTAAAGACTGCGAGCATGCACTCTCAAAAAGTGCAACGACGTTTCCAACGGGAACCCCGTTCTTGGACTTGAGACAAGTCTCGAGCGAGAACTCAAGTTTGAAAAGGGGCCCCTACGCGACGCTACGCTCGTGGTAGTGTGTGAGGACGCCTAAGGCGAGAGTCGCAAGTTGAGAGCCACCTACTCCAGATTTCGTAATAGAAGGGAGGGGGCCTGGACCCTCCAAGACAAGCCATTTCAGACCCCCCCTCGTGGGAGAACCCTCCAAAACATCGTCCCCAGACCCCCCCAGGCCCTCCAAGATAGCCTGGAAGAGACCCCCCCCGAAATGAGACCCCCCTCCCTTTATTACGAAATCTGGAGTAGTTTGACAAGGGGCCACTACACAACGCTACGCTCGTGGTACAGTGTGAGGACGCCTAAGACGAGAGTCGCAAGTTGAGAGCCACCTAGCCAACACCCGTATAATTACTGCAAGCTCTACGACGAATGCGCGCGGCCCTAAGGCGAGAACCAAATTGTACAGAGATGCCAAGAGATTACCACATGAGGTGATCACTTGGAAGGCAATCTCAAGCGAAACGACTTGGCCGGCCTACGGACACGTCGGGCAAATGTGACTGGGAGGAGTTGCTTAGACGAAAAAAGGATGCGAGAGGCATAAGGTGAGCTGAAAAATCAGCAGCCGCAGCAGGTAGAGGCTCGCTCGGTTGACGAAAATCCAGAGGCTCGCCTGGTTGACGTTAAACTCTGACCAGCTTCCTGCAGATGTTGCGTGGGTTCTGCGCTTGCCGCTTGCCAGGATGGAACAGGGCCCAGGAGGGCACACGAAACTCGTGCGCAAGGCAGAACTGCTCGCTGTTCTCAAAAATATCTGGACACGCCTCGGACCCCAGACCCTATTTGACAGGTGCTAGTGCGTAGTGGGTGGTGGTGCGCGTGCGTGCGTGCGTGTGTGCGTGGTTGTGGTTGTGGTTGTGGTTGTGGTTGTGGTTGTGGTTGTGGTTGTGGTTGTGGTTGTGGTTGTGGTTGTGGTGGTGGTGGTGGTGGTGGTGGTGGTGGTGGTGGTGGTGTGTGGTGGGTGGTGTGTGGTGTGTGGTGTGTGGTGTGTGGTGTGGTGTGGTGTGGTGTGGGTGGTGTGGTGTGGGTGTGGGTGTGGGTGTGGGTGTGGGTGTGGGTGTGGGTGTGGGTGTGGGTGTGGGTGTGGGTGTGGGTGTGGGTGTGGGTGTGGGTGTGGGTGTGTGTGTGTGTGCGTGTGTGGGTGTGTGTGTGTGTGCGTGTGTGCGTGTGTGCGTGTGTGTGTGTGTGTGCGTGTGTGCGCGTGTGCTGTGGTGTGACGTCGTATGGCGTCTTGGTGGTTTGGTGGTGGGTCAGGTGCGCGCGTGCGTGATGGCGGTGGTGGTGGTGGCGGTGGTGGTGGTGGTGTGTGTGTGTGCGTGTGTGTGCGTGTATGTGTGCGGTGTGTGTGTGTGTTTGTCGCAACATTCAAACAAAAACGCCTCGGACCCAGACCCTGTTTGACCGGAAGGGGGGCAGCCCGAGATCCAGGCTCACAGACCCAACACGTGGACCGGAAACAAAAACCATCGTGAACAACCCACAGATGGCTGGCGGCTCAGGGCAAGCCAGAACACAGAGCCTCGATCCCAAAGCTGACTACCTACCAGATCACCCCAACCCAACCCGAAGACCCGAATCTGACCCGAATTTCGGGTTGCGGGGGGTACGGGTTCCATGTGTTTTTTCGATGTTCCCCGACCCCCCCCCACTGGAAATCGAGGATAAATTTGGGCCCTCGTGTTGGGTTGGGGTGGCCTGGTGGGTGGTGAAAAGCGCACCCTTGATCCGACAGCCGAGAATAGAAACAAGAAGATCAGATTCGAAGAAACCTGGGCCAGCTTTCTAGAAATTTTTCAAGGCAAGCCTGGGCCCATTTCCGTTGTCAACGCTGGAGGGGCGAACGTGCTCAAGAAACTGGGCCAGCTTTCCGACAAGCTGGTTGAGAAACCCTGGCCCAGCTTCTCGCTCGACTGCAGCCTCGATCCCAACGCACCCTTGCCAGGGAAACGTAAGACTCTGGTATGGGGGACTCGGGTTGGCCTGACGGGGCCATCCAAAAAATACGAGACCCAATCTGAAAGTTGACGCGAGCTCCCGCTGCAAACATTCCACGAAAAGTGAACCGTCAAAATCCAGGACGCGCTCGTCAAAAAAACGTCGGCAAACCCGAGCTCCGGCTTGCTCGAGCCTTACACTTCGCCGACCTTGATCCTACGAGAGGAAATGACACAACCGTGGCCTGCGACCTCCTGGCACAACGTGGACGCTGCCCCGCCTACCATGATGGAGAGCCCCTGCGCGTCCCCCCGCTGGAGCCTTTCGCGCAAGACCGCGGCACGAAAGCCACCAGTCACATTAGATGGCACGGTGTGACTTCGAGCGAAACCTTCTGTGCCCCCCTCTCCTGCTCCCTGCCCACTTCTTCTTCTTCTTCTTCTTCTTGGGAAAACGATTGGGCCTCGAGGACCCGAAGCGTCAGGCAGCCCGGGCGCGAGTGGGCCCAGGCAGCAAGTGCGATGCATCCTCGACCCCTGGTAAGCAGAGGTCGATGAAGACAACATGCAAGACAGTTCAAGACGTACCCGACCCGATCACCCCCCGCCACACAACGCTTCCCTGAAGGGGCCCTGGGACACACAAGTAAATACACACAGATAAAAGAGATTCCCCATATATTTTATGGGTGTTCGTCTTCCCCACCACGCCCCATATGTTCCCATATTTCCCTGGGGATCGACGATTAATTGTGTATGTGTGTGTTTTCCCCCTCCTGATTCCCCTCCTCCACCAAGCAGAACGTCGCGGCCGTCCCTGCCCCCCTTTCGCTCCCCCTTGCTTGCTAAAAGCACTGCTGGCACACTGCTGCATCGTCGTCTCTTCTGCCTTGCGCCAGCCTGTCCTGGACACTCCAAGGCCTGCACACACACACACACACACACACACACACACACACCAGGGCGCACCGCTGCGAGGAGGCGCCGTCAGCGGTTCGAGCGCTGCCCAGGGTGGCGCTCAAAGCGCCGATGGCAGCAGACCCCAACCGCTCCTCCCCTCCAGTGGCCGTCCTTATGGACGCCCGAAATGGGTACGGAAAGAATGGGTACAATGCCCAACAACAAATGTTGTCCCAAACCAACAGCGGCCGCTGTTGGGCGGGCGGCCTTCTGTCTAGAATGGACGCAGGCCGCGGCGGCGTGGACAGCGAGTCCTGTTCAAAATGAACAGGACTTGCTGCTGGGCATTGTACCCATCCTTTCAGTACCCATTTCGGGCGTCCAGAGGGAGTCCTGCCCCCGAGCTCCAAGCGCGCTGGGGCGGGCGCGCTCGGCACCCCCCGGCGGGCGGAACACGGGGAAGCCGCGCCAGAGCTCCACCAGGGCGGTCTCCACGGCTCGGGAGCGCGGCGTGCTCTCTTTTGTGCCGCGTCGCTGGCCCTCGCTCGGACGTCCACTCCCTGTGCATGTTGTCGGCGTCGTGCGCGGCTTTTTTTTTCTCGCAGGATGATCCAGGATGCTCCTTAAGAATCCCCGCCGAGAAAAAAGTGCACACGTCCGAGCGATGCCAAGCGCAGAGATGACGAGAGAGGACGAGGGCCCCGCGAACGGGAGCCCGCACGAGGGGACCGAGCGGGTTGGGGGTCGGGGCGCCCCCCCCGAAGGCGGAAAACGCTGTGATCTGACGATGCGGGCTCGTCCTCCACCGCGCGACACGAATCTGGCCTCAAGATCGTCCCATGCAGCACGAGTCATACAGTCAACCCGTGTGATCACGATGCGCGATAAGTATGCCAAAGGCCTTGGCAGACCATGTCGAAACCCTGAGCGGCCGCGGACGGGCCGAAATGCGAGGACACCCTTGGAAAAGACGCTCACCCATACTACGCGGGTCAACTGTACTTTTAGGGGGCCACAGGCGAACCCTATCCCTACCCCCCACAATTTCTGAGGGGGAGGGTGGGGTTCACCTCGCTGAGGAGCTCCCGAGCGAAGTGAACCCCACCCTCCCCCTCAGAAATCGTGGGGGGTAGGGGTAGGGTTCGCATGTGGCCCCCTAACTTTCGAACTGTCGAGAACCAGGCGATCCGATACAGAGAGGCGGCGAGAAGAAGCGCAGGAGCGCGAGGAGACGACGTCGGCGGCGTTCGGGGGGGGGCGCGGGCGGAGCACTCGAGGGGGCCTCCGGGGCCCCCGATCCGACCGACGACGGCGGCACCCCCACGAAGCACGATCGCGCCCATGTGCTGCACAGGGCAGTTTCTAACACATAGGATTGTTTGAATATAGGATTTTTAATACATGATTAATCTATGAATCAATGTATGCATGAACTCATGATTGTTCTTGATACCAAGCCCCTGCATTTTTAATACATGATCCGCACGCGGAGCATGCATGAAAAACGGCACTGTATGAGAAAGGCAACAAACAACAGAAACATTAATGTTTGACGGTCCGCGCGGAGCTCTTGGATCTGCGCTGGACCCCCTCCCTGGCGCGCGGAGCGCGCCAGGGGTGCCGCTGGAGGCGCTGCCAGGGGGGTCCCAGCGCAGATCCAGGGAATCCGCGCGGACCGCCAAAAGTTCATGTTTATGCAATGTTCTGTTCTCCGATATATGCATCCGCCACCGCACCTTCAGCACGTAGTGGAGCGCCCCCGAGGCTCAACAGTCCAATGTCACTGCCTGCCTACGGGATACGCTTCAAGGGGTTTAGAAAGGCCCCGACCCCTGGTCTCCTGGGCGCTCTTCTGGGAATTTCCGAGCGCTCATGGGAGTTTCTGGAGTGCGTCGCGCGAGCTTTCTGGACGCTGAGCCGGCCCAAAACTAGCCAGGAGGGTCAAAGACGGTTCATGAGCGCCCCGAGACGCCCCAAGAGTGCCCCAAGCTCCCAAGATACCCTCAAGAATAGGCAGCAATCGTTGGTCTTCCTGCAGTTTGGAAGGGATTTAGCATTCTCGCCCATGCGGTCGACGCCCCAAGACAGCCCAAGGGGACCCCAAGATCGCAACAAGACGGTCCAAGAGGTCCCCAAGAGGTTCCGAACAGGGCCCCAAGACGGCCCAAGAGAGCCCCAAGACGGCCCAAGGGGCCTCCAAGGCGCCCCAAGAGGGCCCCAAGGGGGGCCCGAGAGAGGGAGCATGAACTGACATTTCGCGCCATTCGTCCCAAGATGACCCCCGAGACCGCCAGGCTCCCAAGAGGCCTCCAAGAAGCCCCAGGAGGCCCCCGAGGGGTCCAACTAGGCCCCAAGACATCCCAAAACTGTCTCCAAGAGGCTCCCGAGAGGCCTCCCAGGAGACCCCAACAGGCGCCCAATAGGCCTCTGACCTGCAATCCGGGCGCGGTGGCGGGATGGGCCGAAGGCCACGAAGGATCCGCCGCCCCCTGTGCTTGCCACGGGGGTGCCAGACGTGCCGACTTAGTGTTAGGTCGGGCCTGTCCCCCTACAGGGGCACTGTGGACGAACAAAAAAAATTCAAACAATGCTCAACAGATGCCCAAAAATACTCAAACCATAGTCCCCTGACTATGTTTTGACTATCTTCAAACGTTCCCCCTGTAGAGTGTACACGTCGGTCGGAAGAAGTAGGTAGAAACATGAAGTAGGAAGGCGGATTAAGTGGATTGGGTCCAGGCCCCCCAGGGAATAGCAAAACACAGCAAAAGCGTGCTGATTCTTGACGTAGGAAGGCGCTTGAGGTAGAATGGGATCTGGGAATCCAAAAATACCTACTTTCAACGACCGGCGTGTACTGTTCGGAGCCCTCCAAAGCCTTCCCATTTTGAGGTCTCGGCCGCCCCAGGCGGCCACCTGGGCGGCAGCCCAGAGCTAGAAAGTCCCTAGGAATCGCCTCTCAAGGGGCCCAAGGACACACAGGTAAATACACACTGATAACAGGATTCCCCATATCTTCCCATATGTTATGGGTTCTTGTCTCTCTCTACCCCCAATTCCCATACTTTCCCATATTTGCTGGGGGATCGACAATTAATTGTGTCTGTGTGTTTCTTTCCCTCCTGAACCTCGCCCATCCGCCTCCAAGACGGTCCCTGGACGCCTCCAAGAAGCCCGAAGCCCAAGATGCCCCCAAGACAGACAACCCAACATGAAACCAAGATGCCTCCAAGATGGCTCCAAGCTGGACCCGAGATGGTCCGAGGCGGCCTCCAGACGGCCAAAGAGGCCCCCGAGACGCCCCAAGAAGAGACCCCCTCCCTCTCGAGAGAGACTTCCGCAGGATGCAAGCCTCCTGAGCCCAAAAGTGACGCAAGTTACAGGTGTTACGTCGGGCATGTTCCCCTACGGGCGCATTCTCGACGAAAAACGAAAAATACCAAAACTACCCAAAATTCTCAAAATAGCCAAACTATTTTTTCCCAATCGTCCCCAGACTATACAAAAAAATAATATTCCTCCTGTGCAGGGACATGCCCTATTTTATACAGGTGTCCGATGACCCCCCCACATGGATTGGAAGCACGAGGTGGGGACCCCAATAGGGAAAGGCACCCACGTCAGACTTCCTCTGGAATCATTCAAAATAGAGACTCCCGCTCGAGACGTCCTACACATGCAGGCCTGTAGAATCCAACAGTGAAAACAAGTTCAGGGCTCCTATGGCTTGGAGCCGGCCGGGGGTCTGAGGTGGCCCAGCACTGGATCAGCAGGAAGGGGGGGGCGAGGTTCGAAATGGAAGTGTTTTGTTGCCTTTGCCGGCCCTTTGAGGCAACTTTCGGAGGCCAGGAGCGTCAAACACGGATCCGGGTGACAAACTGCACCAGACGGATTCCCGGAGGAGTCCGGGGACCGATTTTGACCGATTTCCCCTGCTCCCCCCTTCTTGGCATCCCTTTTGGCAGCTTCCAACCGATGGCCGCCCTTCGGGTTGGAATATTGATGTGGGGACACCACGCGGAGCCCGCTAGGGAATTCCTCCATGTGTGTGTGGGTACGATGAGTGTATGATGTGTGTCAGTGTGAGTGCGTGCGTGTGTGTTTGTGCGGGGGGGGGGTACTTATGGGAAAGAGCGTGTTCTACCGCTGCTGGCGGAAAACCGGGGGGGGTCACTACCGGTTCGAACCCCTCCCCCCCCCCCCCCCCCCGGGAAAACCGGGGGGGTCACTACCGGTTCGAACCCCTCCCCCCCCCCCCCAGCTCATCATGAAAAGGGGGGGGGGTCACTACCGGTTCGAACCCCCCCCCCCCCCCCCCTCGAAAACCGAGTGGGGGTGCGGACAGTGGTGGGGACGGTGTTGGTGGGGACAGTGGTGAGGGGACAGCGGGACAGTGGTGGGGACAGTGGGGGGACAGTGGGACAGTGGTGGGGACGGTAGTGGTGGGGACAGTGGTGGGGACAATGGTGGGAACAGGGGGGACAGTGGACAGTGGTGGGAACGGTGGTGGTGGGGACAGTGGTGTGGGGACAGTGGGAATGAGGTGGAAACACTGGGACAGTGGAGGGTACAATGGTGGTGGGGACACTGGTAAAGGCGGTGGCGAGGACGGCGGTGGGACAATGGGACAGAGGTACAGTGGGGACAGTGGTGGGGACAGTGGGGACAGTGGTGGAAACAGTGGGACAGCTCAGTGGGACAGCGGAGGAGTCAGTGGGACAGTGGGGACAGTGGGGATAGGCAGTGGTTGGGTCCGTGGAGACAGTGGGGAGAGTGGAACCGTGGTGGGAACAGTTGTGGGAACAGTGGGGACAGTGCGACAGTGGTGGGGGCATTGGTGGGGACAATAGGGACGGTGGTGGAACCAGTGGGGACAGTGGTGGTGAGGACAGTGGTGCTGGGAACAACAGTGGGGGATGTGATGCGAGCGGTGGTAGGGACTGGGAGTCGTTTGCTGGCGGTGCGTGGGGGGGGGTCGAACCGGTAGTGACCCCCCTCCGGTTTTCGAGGGGGGGGGGGTCCAACCGGTAGTGACCCCCCCCGGTTTTCCGGATCCGGAGGGGGGGGGGGGAGGGGTTCGAACCGGTAGTGGGGGGGGGGGGGGGGGGGGGGGGGGGGGAGGGGTTAGGGGAGGGGGGGGTTTGCCGGGAGGGAGGGGGGGGGGGGGAGGGGTTTCCGGCAGGGGGGGGGGGGGATTTTCGGAGGGGGGGGGGGGGAGACCCCTGGGTTCTGGAGGAAAACGTTGGCAATTTTCCACAATAAAGCGGCGGTGGATCACGCTCTCTCTGTGATAATGAAGACGACGATGACCCTCAAGGTGGTGATGACGATGATGATGTTCATGGTGTCCGTGTGCAAGTGCGCGTGGTCATGGTAGACGGTGATAATGGTGAAGATTACGCGGATGGCGGTGATGAATGGTGAGTGCGTGACTTTGCGGGACGGGGCCGAAAAGAGTGTGGAGGGCGCTCTCTCTCTCTCCCTGCCTCTCTCTCTCTTCC